TCGAGTTTTCTCCGCCTAGAGCTTTCGCTTAAGTGATAGATACCTGTCTACCTGATAATCCGATAAGCCAGTTTCCTCTGTCTCTTAACGTCCAACCCCTTGGGCTGGACGGTAGAGCGACGGTCTCGCTTCATGCAGGTCGGCGTTCAATCCCCGACCGTCGAAGTGGTTGGTCACCATTTCTTCCTTCCCGTCCCATCCTAAATCCTTATCCTGTCCCCTTCCAAGTGCTATATAGTCGTAATGGCTTGGCGCTTTCCCCCCTGGTAATTCCCTCCCCCCTTACCCCCTGTTAACTATTTCTAGAGTTATCTCTCTCTCTCTCTCTCTCTCTCTCTCTCTCTCTCTCTCTCTCTCTCTCTCTCTCTCCTCTCTCTCATGAGTCCCATAAAATGATTTACGTCATCATATGACAATCGCTGTATTCAGTTCTCAGGCACAATCATTTGTACTCCTCACTCTGTATCCAGCGCGTAACCACCGCGCCCGCGAGCAACGCCTCCCGAAAAACCGCGACCACTTGCGCCCGGGGTGTTTATCGTGCTGGGGGAGGTGCTTAGCGGGGCCCTAATGTACGTTATTTGGCGCGCTTAATGCCGGCCCTACTTATGTTTACAGCCGCGGCGAGGCGCTCTCCACCACGCCGCTAGGGTCTTCGACTCGCTGCACGCCTGCTACCGGAGGGTAGCAGGGGTAACGCGCCAAGCTATTACGGCTCTATAGCACTTGGAAAGGGGGCTATAGAGCCTATAAATATATATATATATAGGCTATAAGGATAAGGATTTTGGATGGGACGGAGAGGGAAGGAATGGTGTCCAACCACTTAGACGGTATGGGATTGAACGCCGACGTGATTGAAGCAAGACCCTAGGTCTACCGTCCAGCCTAAGTGGTTGGGTGAGCCTGCTACCGGAGATTATCTTCAGTTGAGTTGCAGAACTGTGTACTCTTCAATTCTTTCAATCCCATTAGTTCCGTGCTCGTTTCATCAGCCGCCATCCATCCTGTTTTATGTTGAATAGCACGTTGCAGACGACTCGCATCTGTTTGCCTTCAAACTATTTTTTTAATACCAGTGCTTTTCTTACTTCGTGCGTTCGAAGCACATTTCATGACTGGAAATGACTGGAAATCCACATTAACACTGGACCGCACATTTAGAGTAAATTTCACAGCCCGATCTCATCAACAAAGGTCAAATACTCATTAATCTAGCCGCTGAACCCGCTGTTTATAAATGAAAAATGGTTTATAAACCGATTCACAAATTACAACGTTCGAATATTTCTTCGCTAATGACCTCTATTCGAATCTCAGGACTGTAAATGCTTCATCCACGTTCTTTAAATTCGAATAAACGCCAACGGACTCTAAACACTTAACCTACGCCTAACAATATACACAACTTTAATATATAATATTAACTTATTATAACACACTAATTTTTAATACAAAGTACGTCAGAATTGATGACTGGGTTTTAAGGGGATGGCCGCCGCTTTAACGAGCCTGGCCTGAGGACAGGTTCTAAATAATTATCAAAAGATCCAAAAACCTCCTAACCTGACCTTCCTTCTTCCTAACTATACACAACTTTAACACCTAATAATATTAATTTATGTGTAGGAAAATAGTGTTTTGAATTACACAGAGTTTTGAATTACACTTTGTTTTGAATGCTCCTTTGCCGACGAATGAAGCCTGGACGACCTGCTACCTGCCAACGCACATAATCCCAGATGCTCTAAATCCTTGTATCTAGAAATAATCAAAAGAATTTTTACTTTAATTTCTTTGAAGCTAGATAAAATATCGTTCAGATTTTGTTTGATTTAGTCCACTGCTCAACTTTCGGGTTGATAGTCGTGTTCTTAACTCTTAAGACGTTCATCTCTGGCTGCAACACTTGGGGATAAAAGCACTCTGGAGACATTTGGGAAATTTCCTTCTAGCTGTTCGAGGTTCAACCTGATTGCATCGTGACTGATCCACAAGTGCAACAGACTAAGACTAAAATTATCGTGGAGGGCTTCAAGAAATTTCAAATCCATATTTCCATCCCGTCGTTTCTCAACTAATGATTCTAATATTATACACAAACAGCAGACAAACGCACGAAGTATCAGATCTATCATTCAAACATCGAATCGTTCATTTATTGCTAGTTAATTACCAAAGGCAGTGGACCGCGAAGCCGTATACCAACCGACACTATCATCAGGAAGTCTCAAATCCATCTTGCCAACGTCTCCTTCCTTGCTGCTTGATTGCTTGCACGATTATTGATCTGAGATTGCAAGAGGCAGTAGCGGGAATCACCTGGCGAGAGTTACTAAATCACATACACCGTGGGACGGGACTCCAGGTGAGCTTGGCTTGTCCTTTACCTGGCAGTAATTAAGGGTTGATAAAGGCCACGTGTTTGTGGTCAGGTGTGAGGCGGAGTTGTTGATGGTGCTTGAACCGTTGATGGTGACACCATCTGGTCACCACTTGGTCCGGGAGACATCTCCCGTCACGCAGGGTGCAGTCGCGCCTCCACAGATCTCCAGTATCACCTCTTGATACTGGTAATGGCTCAAAAGGGCCACCACTTACGGGCTATTCATGCCCGTGCCACCTCTTGGGTGGCTTAATCTTCATCAATCATCAATCGTTGATGGTGACGGTGTTTGAGGGGATTGATAGTGTCCTTGATGGCATGTCCGTGGTGGTGTTGACGCTGGTGAAATTGAAATAAGTTTATTGAGGTAAAATACACACAAAGGGATGAGGTAGCTCAAGCTATTCTCACCCCGTTCAGTACATCGTGTTAATACATACATAGACACACATCACAAGCAATAAACGTATTACCGAACATTCCGAGAGATAAACATATACATTTCCTCCTTTACACGACGCTATTGAAGGTGATGTTGGTGAAGGGGGGTGTTGATAGTGATGTTAACGAAGGTGTTATTCTTGGATAGTGACGATAGTGACGTCACGTGACGGTAAGGCTGAAAATGACACCACCACCACCTCCCTCCCACCCTTCCACTCTCCCCTAAAATTAGTGCAATTTTAGCCTCTTGACTCAACTGACTATTGTTGCTGTCCTGGATGTGATGTTGCTAGCAATGTCCTCTTGCACGTTCATTATTATTAAATATTACATTATCATTACTGTCGCTGTCGTGGTTATTACTACCGTTATTATTACTTTATACATCATACATTTGAGTATTAAATGTATTTTTTGTGATCATGTCGAGTATATTCTCCTTTGATGTATCCAGATATATATCCAGAGATTCATGTATCCAGAGATTCATGTATCCAGAGATTCATGTATCCAGAGATTCATGTATCCAGAGATTCATGTATCCAGAGATTCATGTATCCAGAGATTCATGTATCCAGAGATTCATGTGTCCAGAGAATCATGTGTCCAGAGATTCATGTGTCCAGAGATTCATGTTTCCAGAGATTCATGTATATATACCCAGATACGCCCTGTGTGACCAGGTCAAGCAATTAGAAACTATCGCTCGGGACATGGCAACGCTGTTGTCATGTTTCCTGCACAGAGCAGGCAACTCGGTGCAGAAAAGTGTCCTGCACCGAGTTTTACTGAAACTGGAGAAACACTTGTGTACCGCGTGACGCCAAGGCTAGCCTCACGTGACGCCAAGACTACGACACAGAATTTTCCCACGGGCACTTTCTCGACCGTAAAATAGGGTATTGGATAACCGAAGCCTGTTTGGGGAAATCAGGCCTAGGGAGGTGGGTGAGAGATACAAGAAGAGGGCGTGGGCGTGGATTTACCCACCAAGCTGTGCCTGTGTGGGCGTGGGGAAGGATAAGGAAGCTGTGAATGTGGGGGAAGGAAGCTGGAGGTAATAAGGGAGACGGGATGGAAAGGGTAAGTGAGAGGAAAGAGGAAGATCTCAAGGTAAGGGAGGAAAGAGAGAGGGAGAGGGGGGAAGATAGACGGAAGAGGTATAACACCTTAACGCCACAAACTACCCACCCCCTCCTTCTTCTTATACCCATTCTCGCCACCTCGACCACCGTCAGGGCTTCACCACACCAGACAGTAGGCGGGTTAGTCGGGTCGAGTCGGATGCTCTCATGAGGATTCTCATTTTTTTAGGGGGGTGGTGAAGCGACTTTTCCTGCGACGCCATAGCCAGCCCTGAGGTGCTGAAGGGCTGAAGGGCTGATCGCCAAAGGGCCTCGAGACGCCCCTTGGCGATCCTTCCTTCATGGTTCCCTTTGCCGACCCCCTTTGGCGACTTCCATTGTCAGGGTTCAGGACCAGAACCAATCTTCAGGGTCACAGAGGTTTCAAGACTACAAAACAATTTCAGGGCTATAGGGGGGGGGGTTCAGGGCTACCAGACTAGACACATAGGCTTCATAACTAGTCAGGAAATCATTGTAGGCAAAATTAAGACAAGTTCTATGTGTAACTACAATAGCGGATTATGAGATGGAGGGACGAGGCCTTAAGCAGAATGCCAGCCAGAACAATGTGGGTCGTCGTTCAATCCCCGACCGTCCAAGTGGTTGGGCACCATTCCATTCCCCCCGTCCCATCCCAAATCCTTATCCTGATCCTTTTCAAGTGCTATAGTCGTAATGGCTTGGCGCTTTCACTTGATAAGTCCTTCCTGCCTTCCATTGTGCTTCCCCCCCCCCCGTCCCTCGTGATACTGGAGTCGCTTTCATTGGTATCGGGAAATGACCGATATGACGGATTGACGTACCAGGGCGGACGATTGACGTACCAAGGCGGACGATTGACGTACCAGGACGGACGATTGACGTACCAGGACGGACGATTGACGTACCAGGACGGACGATTGACGTACCAGGGCGAACGATTGACGTACCAAGGCGGACGATTGACGTACCAGGGCGAACGATTGACGTACCAGGGCGGACGATTGACGTACCAGGACCGACGAATGACGCACAAGGCCGGACGATTGATGCATCAGAGCAGATGAAGCACTGGAATAATGTTACAACAAATTTATGCTCGTACGGGATACTTTTCCCCGAGTGTTAATAAAATGCTAATCTTTTTGCTTCTCTTCTCCTGCAGATCTGAGGTGCAGAGACTGAAGTCGTCTAGGGCGTCTGAGAGCGAGGCCAGCGCCGCCCACGCCCACGCCCGCGAGCAGCGGGAGGCGGTGACGGCGGCCTGGGTGGTGGGCAAGGTGCAGCATCTTGAGGACTCCGTGGCGGAGCTGCAACGCTCCTTCAACGTTACTCAAGCCATGCACGACAAGCAGGTGAGTACCCCAACACTCTCACCAATCAGTTGGTTATAACATATAAGCTCAGAGAATGTAGCGAAACTTGTTCCGGATATACTTTTATAGTCCCTGGAAAACATGTTCTACGAACCTCTCTCACACATTATATCCTGCAGGAGGTGGAGTCTCGCCTGCTGGTGGTGACCAAGGACTTGAGCGCCCTCAGAGGGACGCTGGCAGGGGTGACGTCGAAGGCCGAGGCGGCGGCAGCCACGTCGGAGGCGCTGCAGGAGGAACTGACGAGGACAATGGAAGACCAACACCGCATGGCCGGCCGTGTGGCCGCTCTCAACACAGAGGTGAGTGGCTTGGTGCTACACTGTGGCTTGGTGCTACACTGTGGCTTGGTGCTACACTGTGGCTTGGTGCTACACTGTGGCTTGGTGCTACACTGTGGCTTGGTGCTACACTGTGGCTTGGTGCTACACTGTGGCTTGGTGCTACACTGTGGCTTGGTGCTACAACACTGTAGGGGATAAGCGCCTCAGTGTGAAACTTCCCATATTCAAACAAGACAAGTCTCTCACTAGAATTGTATGTGCTCTCCAAGACCTAAATATCTCTCCAAGAATAGCGGAAGCAAGACAAGGACCCAAGCTAGTCAGAACTATTGTTCTGACCAGCTCTAAGTTGTTCCACCTGTTCATTAGTCTCTTCCTCTTTATCACAGTTCGCACTTCTGAAACCCATCCAGTCTTCCTTCCTTCCACAACCCCGGCGCCCTTCCTTCTGTAACTCCCTCTTGCCTGTACTTCTTCCTCTTCTAGTCATTCTTGACATCATCACCGTCTAAACAGTACCTCAAAATTCCTTCTCTCGTCCAGTTTGGCATCGAAGAATTCTTCCGTCTCTTAGTAGACGGAGAGAACTAATGCCATTTTCTTATTTCAACTTACTCAGTAATGGTATCGTACAGAAATGTTGATGAAATGCATATTTTGAGCTTTCAAAGGAACATAAATCAGGTGTTATACACTGTTGTGTTAGTTTTAGACCTTAGCTGCTTTTGAGGCCAATGTGGAACACTGTGTATGAGAGCAGGTATACAGCTCTGCGTAGCCATGAATACGAGTGTATGGCTACCAGGCTCCATTTAGCCACGGAAGGCTCTCATGTGCTACCATGACTCTCAGAGAAACACATCAACCTTCCGTGGCCTCAGCACTAGGGTTTCAGGTGCTTGGGGTCGCGGTTGCCATCAGTTTCTCCTGTCTGTATATATTGCTCAAGACTCGGGTCTCTGTTATTAAGGGCGCCGCGGCTGGGAGAGTGACCTCGGTAAATGACCTGGCGCTCCTGGTAATGACGAGGGAGGGAGACAATAGAAGCGTCCCGTGTCGTACCAATCACCGCCCTCACTGTCACTCGTCGCTAAGGCGGCCGGTGTCAAGATGACGCCCTTGGGTCTCCCTCCTACCATTGTTCTAACCCGGCGTCCTGGTCATGGATTAAATCGATATATGTCACGGGGTCGTTGCCGCTTCAGGCCACGTCAATGCCAGATCCAGCGGTGGTCCACGGCGCATTGTCCGTGTCGACGTGCTGAGAGAGGTGTGGAAGCTTCATCTGGGCCAGGTCTATTGTCCGGGAGGCTGTGTAGTTTCCGGAAGAAGTAGTTGACCCCACCACCCCTCCCTCTGGCCCAACATCTGCAGCTGGGCCAGTTCGATGCTGAAAACTGGTGCTCGGGTCTACGAACAAAGTTGTCGCTTGTCTGATGCGACGCTCAAACGGCAGGCTTGCATGACCACTAATGTGGCTGTGTGTCTCGACAGATGCGAACTAACATCTTTTCAACTGATCTGAGCCGTATAGTTGACCTTTTCAACTGATCTGAGCCATTAGTATGTCGGCATTGTAAATGTGTGGCCACGTCTGTGGTAGAAAATAAATAATAATAATAATAATAATAATAATAATAATAATAAAAGTATTTCGCCAAATGTAAACAGTAAGTTTTCCAAGTTTTGAAATTCCTTTGTATAACAATATAAAATTCTATGCTGCTGAGCCTAGAAATGTAATTCTTAATAATATGGATTTTCTTATATAATAATACATTATATATATATATATATATATATATATATATATATTATATATATATATATATATATATATATATATATATATATATATAAAAATCCATGAACCCCCACTAGAACCCCTGGGAGATATAAAAACTTTAATCTTTAACGCTTTCAGTCCCTGTGAAAATTTCTTTACCTCCCGCGTCATCCGTCTTCCACGGCCCCGCAGCCCTGTGAAAAAATGGGTAATTGATTCCGGAGGTCCAGTTAGTGTGACCAATTCGGTCCGTCGCCGACCACGATGGAGATGGCCGGCCTAAAATAGGTTCCCTGCGACCCATCCGGGAATATAAACTGTAATATAGCATGTATATATTTACATATGTGCGCTCTCTCTCTCTCTCTCTCTCTCTCTCTCTCTCTCTCTCTCTCTCTCTCTCTCTCTCTCTCAGAACAGAACTCTCACAAACATCGTCGAAGTTTATTAAGTTTTAAGGAATAAGTATTACGATTAGATTTTATATATATATATATATATATATATATATATATATATATATATATATAATTTTTTAGTTTAGTCAGTGCATGGAATTTTATTATATGATAGTAAAGCAATTTAGAATTTATCTAGAATGATATAGCGATATCCATCGTGGGCTTAAATTTAGTATCACGTTATATGATACTCTTTTTTTTTTTAATGATAACATGCTCGACCCGTCCATGTTGAGCAATACCCGTCAGCTATTGTTGTGAAAAATTGAGCGAGACTAGCGTCAAACATCTGGCCTCCAACCTCAGACACACAGATATTTTATTTTTAGACATAGATATCCTACTGTCGCACTGTTATCAACCTCTTCGTCATGGGACGAAGACCTATGGACAGAAGAGGACAGGACCTCCTCTTCCTCCACCCTCTTCCATCCTCCTCCACTCTCTTCCATCCTCCTCCACTCTCTTCCATCCTCCTCCACTCTCTTCCATCCTCCTCCACTCTCTTCCATCCTCCTCCACTCTCTTCCATCCTCCTCCACTCTCTTCCATCCTCCTCCACTCTCTTCCATCCTCCTCCTCCTCTTCCCTTCGGTCCCCACCCTTACCCATTGATTCCCCCCCACCTCCCCGAGCTCCCTCACGGCCCACGGTAGCAAAAAAGGTGAGTGTGGCAGCATACATCTTGCCTCCTTGATCGCGTATCCGTCCCAAGAGTGACCTCAGCCACACACCCATTCCTCCCTCACCTCGCCTTCTTTATGAGTTATTAGGTTAATTCGCTACCTCTTTCCTCCCCCCTCACCCTTTCCTTCCTTTCTCCTCCTCCTCCTCTCTTCCTGGCGGTGAGTTAGTGGGTAACAGCTCCCCATGTCTCTTACCTCCTCATTTGCCTTTTTCTCCTCTTCATGTCCTATTAACACCCTCTCCCCACCCCTTCCTTCCCCTACTGACCCCCCTTAGCCTCCTCATGATGAGTTAGTGGGTAACTTTCCCTCCCCTCTTAACTCATTCCCAGTACCTGGAGTTGGGAAACTGCCTTTTACTCGACTCCCACCGATCTTCCCTATACCTCTTCCTCCTCTCCTCTTCCTCTTTAGCCCCATTTATCTTCTATGTCCCCCACCCCCTCCTCTCTTACTTCTCGCTTCTTCACTTCTTCCCCTTCCTGAATCAACCCCTCCTCTCTCTCTCTCTCTCTCTCTCTCTCTCTCTCTCTCTCTCTCTCTCTCTCTCTCTCTCTCTCTCTCTCCCTCTCTCTCCCTCTCTCTCTCAGTTCTTGATTTCTCCTGTTTCGTCTCCCTGCTCTTGCTTCTACCTTGAAAAGGAAAAGTCCTGATTCTAACCTGCTGCTCCTCTAACAAAGCAACCTATAGGTGCAGTTTGGTACCAGGAAATAAGGACAGGACGCCGTCATTCTGGATTACCTCACGAACACTGGATTACTTCAAGCGTCCTGGGATTACCTCACGAACACTGGATTACTTCAAGCGTCCTGGGATTACCTCACGAACACTGGATTAGATCAAGCGTATTGTTCTCACCTAATTGTAGAGACGTAACTATGCTTGCGGAGGATGATGCTTATGAAGAGACTGTCCAACAACCTCACTTCTTAATACATTACATGTCATCGCAATTCTGATATTCACAACAAAACTATTTAGACTCAGTTCGTGGTTCATTTGGGTGCTGAGCTCCCATTTCTGTCGAATTATTTCGCATCAGTAACCCTATTTCCGAACCACTGTTTACCTGTACCTATTCGTATTCTTACATTTCCCATTTTGAATACATGAAAAAGGACTTAGAAGGAAATGCATTTGTTGGAGGGTTGTTGAACTCTGTCAATCTCAGGGGTAACTAAGACCTGTCAACCTCGGGACGGTAACTAAGACCTGTCAACCTCGGGACGGTAACTAAGACCTGTCAACCTCGTGACGGTAACCAAGACCTGTCAACCTCGGGACGGTAACTAAGACCTGTCAACCTCGGGACGGTTACTAAGATCTGTCAACCTCTGAAGAAGTAGATACAGCAAGACGTTGTCGAAGCCTCGTGCTGTGAGTACATTGCTTGAGGGGAAAAAAAAGAAGGGTGGGGAGAGATGAAAAAAGAGGGTGTGCACTTTGGTGAGGGGAGGAAGTAAGGGGGAAGCGCCCTCTGGGGACCTGGGGTGTCTCCCTCTGGGGACCTAAGGGAAGGAAAAGGGACAGGTACACTCATGCGGTCAGGGCAAGAAAACAAAGGTTCAGTAAGCTCCACGGAAAGGGAATGTGGCGAAGAAAAGGGTTTCCATGCTTGAAAAGGAAGTAGGGGGATGAAGAGTATAATCTTCAGATGGGAAGGTTAGGGATGGGTGATGTGGGAGGGTGTGTGAGGGATGGGGGAAGGGGAGAGAGAGAAGTGGAAGGGAGATGTGAGGGGTAGGAGGGCATGTGATGGAAAGGATGGGTGGGAGGGAGTGATGCAGTGTGGGATGGGTTCGGGGGAGGGAGAACACCGTCTCTCACACCGTCTCTGATCCTATTCAGAGGATCTGCACGCTGATCTTACCGTATTTCCTTACCATGGCCACACCATGGCCACACCAGCGCCACACCATGGCCACACCAGCGCCACACTATGGCCACACCATGGCCACACTATGGCCACACCATGGCCACACAGAATAATCTCATTCGCGTAAAAAAAATCTTGTTAAGACAATACTTAAGACAACGCATAAGCACAGTTTTCACATAATTTAAAATTACATTTACAACTAAAAA